AATTCCAAGGATAACATTAAATTTAACCCTTTATACAACTACTTAAAGTTAATTTTTTAAAAATGTAAAGAAAATTAAAAACATCATTAGTAGAATCTCTAGTTGCCAATAAAGTCGTCAGGATAAAAAAAAGAAAAAGATAAATAAGACACTAGATTAATTTCTTTTTCTTATCCAAAACTAAAAAGACATTGAAAGGCATTTTTTACAATAATTTAAAACAGAATGTTTAACATTCTTGCTCACAGGTGGCATTTTACCATGTGAGCCATGTCTTCACCATGGCTTTTATTCTTCACCACTGGTTTATTGGAGATGGAGTATCCTATGTATAGAATTGAAGATGTACTTATGAAGGAGAGTCTAGAAATAACCACTTATTTCTATATTCAACTGATGTTTGAAAGGTGAAATAAAAATTCAGTAGAGAATTCAATAGAGAAACATAAAATTTAGCAAAAACAATGCAAAATACAATACAAAGACTAAGAAGTTCCAAAAAGTTGCTTGAGGTACAAACATGCAATTTTAGTTACTTGAAAGGAGGAGCACTGATTACTATCTAGGAGTTTAAGGCAGCTTGAGCTACATAATTAACATTTTAACCCCCCAAATTTCTTACCCCAATTAAAAAAAAAAGATTCAACCCAAAGAGTACATATTAAAATATTAGTCATAATTAAAATTTTTTTTTGTTGGTGGTACTTGGCTTATATTCATGACTTCTGGCCTCCCCCTTGCTTAACATTCTTGCTCACAGGAGGCATTTTATCATGTGAGCCATGTCTTCAACATAGCTTTTCAAAGTTTTGTTATAGATGGAGTATTACTGGATTTCTGCCCCTTTTAGCTCTGAAGTGAGGTCTTCTGGATCTCAGCCTTCTCAGCAGCTACAATACAGACATGAGCCACTGACATACAGCTCATCATAATTATTTAAGAAATAATTAAAGATAAAGAAAAATTACATGTCGGAACACAGGGCACATTTCCAATAGTGTATTTCCAATCTGAATGACAAATTTCTAACCTAAAACTATACAACCTAATTAGTATAAAAAATTCAAAATTACAGAGATTTAACTTAGTTAAACTACTACCACTTGATAATAACTCCCTTTACAAAACAACTGAGTTTACTTCAGTTTCCCAACATACTATTAATAGAATTGAAAAATATTTTCTTTCTTCTGTTCTCTTATCTTTCCCCATTCTTCTTCCTCTCTCTTCAATCTCTCTCTATATATATACATATATATACACATTCATAGAGAGAGAGAGTGTGTGTATGCTATAAATACACAGTATCATTAAGAGTGATATGTGGCCAGGCACCAGTGGCTCACATCTCTAATTCAAACTAATCAGCCCAGGCAAGAAAGTCTTAAATAGTCTTAGCTCCAAGTAATCATCAAAAAACACCAAAGTGGGGTCTGAGAAGGTGGCTCAGTGGTAGAGTGCTTGCCTTGCATGCATGAGGCCCTGGGTTCGATTCCTCAGCACCACATAAGCAGAAAAAGCTGGAAGTGAGACTGAGGCTCAAGTGGTAGAGCGCTAGCCTTGAGCTGAAGAGCTGAGGGACAGTGTCCAGGCCCAGAGTTCAGGCCCCACGACCAGAAAAAAAAAAAAAAAAACCAAAGTGGTGGGGAAAGGGAGGGAAGAGGGGGGGGCAAGGAGCTGGGAAGTGGGGAGGAAAGGAATGGTAGGGGAAAACAAAGGAGGAAGTAACAATACTCAATAGGAAATGTACTTATTACCTTATTCATGTAGCTATAACACCTTTGTACAGTATTTTTACAATAAAAAAAATCTTTTATAAAGAAAAAAAGAAAACACTGAAGTGGAGCTGTGGTTGAAGTGGCAAAGTGCTATCCTGGAGAAACACACTTTTTTAAAAGATGATATGTGGAGATTTATTTCTTTGAATACTAGAACCATGAACACCTGAAATGTATATGATACTCTTACTGACTTCGATAAACATAGTAGAATGTAATTGTCAGAAATTATAATTAATTACACTGGGCTGAAGTAACTTTCTTTGTCCTGATGAAACAACTTTTGTCCTGATTATAATTTCTGCTTTTTCCTTCTGATTCGAATAGTCCCATCACCTAATTCTTCCTCTAAACTTAAATCTATTGTGTGCACTTCAAAGTTGAACTAAAGTGCTTTTCTTCTTATTGCAGAGCAAGTATCAAGACCTGACATGTAGGAATCAGGAGAAATGGTTCTCTGACATAGGACTTTCAATTATACTGTTAATTTAGCAAAAAATGGAATCATTCATCCTAAGGATAGATTCAGGATTAAGTACTTATTAGTTCATGTTCAACAAAATTTTCTTTTATGGAAGTGCAGGTAAGGCACAAGTGGTAGAGTACCAGACTTGAATAATAAGAGCCAAGCAAAAGCATGACATCCTGAAGTCAAGTCAAAAGAAATCTAGAGTGCTTGTGTATGAGATCTGAACTATGATTTTTTGTTGTTAGTGGTGCTGGTGGTTGTAAGGCGTGAACTCAGAGCCTGATGCTCTCCCTGTGCTTTTTCACTTTGAGCCACAGCAGTAGTTCCTGTCTTCTGGTAGGTAACTGGAAATAAGTCTCAAGGACTTTCCCACCCAGGCTGGCTTTAAATCCTGATCCTCAGATCTGAGCCTTCTTAGTAGCTAGGATTACAGGCATGAGGCATTAGCACCATGCTGGAACTATAAACTTTTTATTGAAATGGCTGGTGTTTAACTGCTTGAGCCACACCTCTATTTCCATGTATTTTTTGCTTCACATATTACTGATTATTACATATATCACATATATTGCTGATTCATAGTTATGAATTATAATAATGAATTCATAATAAAAACTGTTATGGCCAATAGCAATAATAATTTATGAAAAGGCCCAGATTCATTTGCACTGGTAGGAGAGCTTAAATTCAAGGACTTGTATTCTTACAAGGCTTTTTTATTCAAGGCTGGTCCTCTATTCCAAGAGTCATAACTCCACTAATTTTATGCTGGTTAACTGAAGGTAAGGATCTCACTCTGCTTAGGCTGGGTTCTAACTTTTATCCTCAATCTCAGCCTCATGAGTGATTAGGATAATAGGTAGGAGTCTATAACAGATCTTTAACAGTTACCTAAAGATACTTACACTCTTCTGAAAAAAAAAAAATCTTTCAAATGAATGAAATAATTATTTCATTTTAAAATCTAAGGTCAAAAGAAACTACTTGGAGCTAGAATGTGGTATGTACCTGTAATCTAATATACTTAGGTAGAATATTTCTGTGATCTTAGATATGACAGGAAATCGAAGTCTGAGACAATTAAGACAAAAGTAAGTCTAGACCATAGCTCAACTGTTTGAGTATCTTCCTAACAAGCACAAGTCTCTGAGCTCAAACCCAAATATTGTCAAAAAGAAAAATAAGGAAAATATGTCTGTGTTTTTTGAAATAACAGGGCCATAGAATAGGCTTTTAAACATTGTATCTTAAGTGAAAAAAAGGAAAAATCAACTATATAAAAACTATTTCTTTTCTACAAGTCAAGCGTACTCTCTTTTAATTATGATGGTTTATAATAAAATGGACATTCAAACAAAATAACATGTTATTTAACAAGAAAGGATAATTATGTGATTTTCACATGTGTTATAACTAATTATATCATTAGCCAGAATACTTGCATGCCAAGCTCAAGGGCTTAAGTTTAACTTATTCTTCCTTTGTTTTCCTCCTAAAACTCTGCAGAATTCAAAACTAGTATTCCTTCAGCTATTTGCTAAATTTCCATCTCTATACCAAAAGAAGGAAAGAAAAAACTTTTGTTAACAGACATGCAGTTTCCGGGACTATTGACAATCAAGAGAAGAAATACAAGAATGGCTAAAATCAGGGCTGGGAAGGTGGTGCAGTAGTGGAGTGCTTGTCTTGAATGCATGATATCCTGGGTTTGACTCCTCAGCACCACAGAAGCAGAAAAAGCCAGAAGTGGTACTGTGGCTCAAGTAGTATAGTGCTAGACTTGAGCTGACCAGATGAGGGACAGCACCTAGACCCAGAGTTCAGGCCCCATGACTAGGGGGGAAAAAAGGCCAAAATCCTAGAACTTTAGGGCTTTCCCTTAAATGCATTTTCTCTTTTCTTTCTTTCTTTCTCTCTCTCTCTTCCTTTCTTTCTTTCTTTTTTTTGGCTTGTTTGTTTTGGTTTTTTTTGGGTCCGGTCGTGGGACCTGAACTCTGGGCCTGGGCGCTGTCCCTCAGCTCTTCAGCTCAAGGCTAGCGCTCTACCACTTGAGCCACAGCGCCACTTCCAGCTTTTTTGTTTTTGCTTATGTGGTGCTGAGGAATCGAACCCAGGACCTCATGCCTGCAAGGCAAGCGCTCTACCACTGAGCCACCTTCCCAGGCCCAAGTCCTGAAGCTTGAACTCAGGGCCTAAGCGTTATCTTTGAGCCTCTTTGTGCTCAAGACTAGTTCTCTACCACTTTAATCACAGCACTACTTCCAGCTTTTCTGTTCATGTGGTACTGAGGAATCAAACCCAAGGCTTCATGCATACTAGACAAGCACTCTACCACTAAGTCACATTCCCAGCCCCTCAATTAAATACATTTTCCTTCCCTTAGAATGGCAGTACTACAGTTCTATGAAATATTAATCCAGAATAGTTATTTATTTGCCTGAAAAAATATAAACTTTGATTTCCTTTTCTTCAATACCACCCATTATCTGTAAACTAGCATTGAGACTAGTGACTGAATTTTTTCAAACAATACAATGTTTTAAGTTTTAGTGAATAATTAAATTTGCTTAATATTTATGTAAGTTATATCAACTTTTTACGCTTTTATCTACTCTTTTTCATTGCTTCTGAAGTTTCTAAGTTCCTAAGAAGATTATAAACACTGGTAGCAAGTGCCCTTGATATAAAATACAAATCATTAGAATCAATGCAAACATAAACCAAGAAGAAATTTAAAAGAGAAAAAAAATTACCTTTTGAATAATCTTCCAATAAAAGGTTGAAGTGACCTAATTGACAAAAGAAATCAGATTCCACTTTTCCTTCAGCTTTTACTATTAAAGATTCGTAGCAGTGAACAGCCTAGAAATAAAAAAAAATACACATTTTAAAAGATGTGAAACTGTAAATTGGATCTGCTTACTGAAAAAATTTTAGGATTACAGAAGAAGCCAATGTCATTTTCTTCCAAAAAAATCTCTATAATTCACTACAGAATTTGAGAAGTTTCTAGGTTATGTTTGTTAGTTTGTTTTTAGTGGTACTGGAGGTTTGAATTCAGGGCCTAATTACTGTTGGGGGTGCCAAAAACGAACTCCATTTTTAATATACCAGGGGTGTTTCCCCCTCCCACCCCTGAGAATCAAAACACTGGTTTCTCACAAGGCCCAAGGGTCAGGAAATACACTGTTTGTTGAGACCCCAGGAAATATGGAAACTGAAAAGCCCTTGATTGTTGTGATAAGTTTATGTGGCCAATAGCTGTGTTTGGTTATCAATGGCCCAGACAGGATCTCAATAGCCCAAACAGGATCTGAGCCCAGTTTGGTTATCAATAGTAAAACAGCCCAGCGACCTTTGTCCTTCCAGGAAGGAGCAGCCTAGCCCTGCTCCCACAAGTGAGAATATCCCCTTGCTTTGTAATGATAGGTTAGTTCAAACAGATACTATGAGAAGGACTGTAACCCCATTGGACACTGACATACATATGCAATCTTTATGTGTGTTATAATCCTATTGGCCACCTGCATGTGGTCAGGCTGGACTGCATGGATTTTGCCTTTAAAAACCACTGCTTGGGGGGGGGTTGGGAAGGTGGCTCAGTGGTAGAGTGCTTGCCTTGCATGCCTGAGGCCCTGGGTTCGATTCCTCAGCACCACATAAGCAAAAAGAAAAAAGTTGGAAGTGGCGCTGTGGCTCAAGTGGTAGAGCGCTAGCCTTGAGCTGAAGAGCTGAGGGACAGTGCCCAGGCCCAGAATTCAGGCCCCATGACCGGACCCAAAAAAAAAAAAAAGAAAAAGAAAAATCCCTGCTTGTGGGCAGTTCAGGGTCAGCTCCCGAGTCTGTGCTGCATCCCTGGCTGGTCAGCTATCCACTTCCCCAATAAAGTCATCTTTTTACATGAGGCTGTCTCTGAGTGGTGGACTCTTTTCCCCATAACAGTGCTGGTTAGGCTGATATGATATCCTAAGCCACATCTCCAACTAGAGAAGCTTCTCTAAGAATTAATGGAGCCCCTGAACAGAGTCCCAGGGTCACAACAAATTGGAGACAGACTCGATAAATGGAACTACCTTAAAATAAAAAGTTTCTGCACAGCTAAATACATAGTAACCAAGCTAGAAAGACAACCAACTAACTGGGAAAAAATATTTACCAGCAATATATCAGACAAGGGGTTAATATCCAGTTTATAAAGCGAACTCAAGAAACTAATTCCTTCCAAACCCAACAAACCAATTAATAAATGCACAAGGGAACTAAAGAGAGACTTCTCAGAAGAGATAAAAATGGCAAAGAAACATGAGGGAATGTTCACCATCCCTAGTTGTAAAGGAAATGCAAATAAAGACAACCCAGAGATACCACCTTACCCCAGGCAGAATGGCCCACATCCTAAAGTCAGCCAATGACAAATGCTGGAGGGGATGTGGAGAAAGAGGAACCCTATTTATTACACTGCTGTTGGAATGTACACTTATACAACCACTTTGGAAAGCAATCTGGAGGGTCCTCAGAAAGCTAAATATTGACTTCCCCTATGACCCAGCCATACCACTTCTAGGCATCTATCCTGAACAACAGGCACTAGGATACAATTTCACATGCACCTCCATATTTACTGCAGCTCTGTTCACAATAGCCAGGATACCCAGATGCCCCACCACAGATGAATGGATCCAAAAGCTGTGGTGCCGATACACGATGGAATATTATGCAGCCATTAGAAAGGACAAAATAATGGCATTTGCATGGAAATAGATGGAACTAGAAGAAATCATGTTGAGAGAGGTAAGCCAAGAGCAAAGAGAACAAATAGCACATGGTCTCCCTGACAAGTGGATGTTAAATCCAAAGTGTAAAATGATGACAAAGTTAACAAGACTTAAGAAACAAAGGACCTCCACTAGGGGGTGGGAAGGTGGCTCAGTGGTAGAGTGCTTGCCTTGCATGCATGAGGCCCTGGGTTCAATTCCTCAGTACCACATAAGCAGAAAAAGCCGGAAGTGGGCTGTGGCTCAAGTGGTAGAGCGCTAGCCTTGAACTGAAGAGCTGAGGGACAGTCGCAGGCCCAGAGTTCAGGCCCCACGACTGGCAAAAAAAAAACGAAAACAAAAACAGGAACTCCACTAATCTGGTCAAATCACTAATAACCCCACGCTGCTGATCATATATATGGTATATACGCACACACTAGAGGGAATCAGGAAAAACTTACAACACAAGGACCCGTCAGCTGCACTGGACATTGATCAAAAGGAGCAACTCAATGGCAGGGATGGGAGGGAGGGAAGTGGGAAAGAGAGAACAGCTGACACTATGCAAAAGGAAAATAATGTACATATCATTGGATGTGGAAGAAATAACTGTACTGTCAAAGCTCATGGAATTCATAAACTATAGACCACGATAGACAATTTGCCCATGAAAGTGAGAATGTGTTTGTGACTTTAACTAAGCATCATTATTCCACAATACTGTGAAATTCGGGAAATTATGTAATCACTTAATCACAATTAAAAAAAAAAAAAAAGAACCTTGGGGAAGGGATGGAGGGAAGGGATTGTAGGGGAAAACAATGGAGGGGGTAACAATGCTCAATAGGAAGTGTGCTCATTACCTTACTCATGTAACTGTAACCCTCTGTATAGTATCTTTACAATAAAATATATATATATATATAAAAAATAACTAAGGATCACTATTGCATAATACTGTGAAATTATGTAATCTCCTATCACAATAAAGAAGTTGCAAACACACAAAAAAGAATTAATGGAGGGGCTGGGAAGAGGTTCAGTGTTAGAGCGCTTGACTTGCATGCCAGAGGCCCTGGGTTCGATTCCTCAGCACCACATGAGAAAAAAGAAAAAAGCTGGAAGTGGCACTGTGGCTCAAGTGGTAGAGCGCTAGCCTTGAGCTGAAGAGCTGAGGGACAGCGCTCAGGCCCAGAGTTAAAGCCCCACGACTGACAAAAAAATAAAATAAAATAAACAAATAAAATGTTACATAGAAGCTAAAAATACCAGTTACGTTAGTACTAGTTCATACAGCAAAACTACTTTCAAGCTAGGCACAGAAGGCTCACACCTGTAATCCAAGCTACTCAAGAGACAGATCTGAGAGATCATGGTTCAGAGACAGCCAGGGGAGAGAAGTCCATGGGACTTTTATCTCCAATTAACCAACAAAAAGCACCAATGGAGGAAAGGTTCAAGAGGCAAAGCTGTAACTTAAGTTAATAAGCTAAGATACAGCACCTAGTTCTGGTACATGACCTGGTACTAGGTCAAGTCCTAGGACCAGCACACATACAAAAATATTTATTTTCAAATAGGAAAAGGAAAATTTAATTCAGTATATAGAGGTATTTTTTTCATTTATTATTTAGTGTTTTATCTATGGACTTGAACTCTATGCCCTATATTTGTTAGTCAAGTATAGCACCATGCCCACAACACTCCTTTGTATTTTGTTTCTTTCCTTTGTGTTTGCTAGTACTTGAACTAGCAAGTGCTTGAACTCAGGACCTTGAGCTCTCACTTTGAGCTGTAGCTTTCTGCTGGCTAACTAGAGAAAAAGAGTCTCTTGGGGCCAGTCTGCTTAATGCTCCATTTTCTAAACTCAGCCTCCTGAGTAGCTAGAACTTTAGGTACACATTCACAATGTCTGGTGACATTTGTACTTTTTGAGATAGGGTCTCATTTTGTGCCAAGTCAGCACCTGAACTACAATTCTATTTTCAGTTCCCCATCAAGTTGAGATGATAAGCACATACCAGCACATCTCCCTTTGAAAGATTAAAAATTAGAGTTACATTTTACAATTGCTAACTGCTGGTTTTGCTTCTGTAAACTTGCTTGCGCTAGCACTGACCCTTCCCCTCCCTGGAAATAAATAAAAAGTTTCAGAGTCTAGATGTCGGCCCTGGGACAAGCTCTGTAGTCGTAAATAAAGAAAAAACAAGTAAATTCCCCAAGTGGCCAAATGGGACCCAAAATAAGGACCCAAGATAAGGACCACCTGGCAAGTCCAGCAAACTAGGCCAAATGTTAATCAATCACAGGCCTGTAACCATGTAAACCCCCATTAAACCAACCATGGGCCAATCATTTTACAAAGAGAGTTAAAAATTTCCCGCGTGGCAAAGTGACTGTTGGTGTAGATGGTGACCTTTAAATGGACCAATCATGGGATGCTTTGTGGTATGTGTTAATCTTGTGGGTTTTGCCTTTAAAAATGCCTGTAACCGCTGCTCGGGGCTCTCTGACTGACCGGGGCAGAGAGTCCATTTGCGCAAACGTCAAATAAACTCTTGCTTATTGCATCTCCCAGCCTGGAGTCTGAGTTTTCTGGGGCGCCCTCCCGTTGACGAAAGTATCCCAGGAGTCTGGGGTCTTTCACCTTCTTCCAGTAAGATAGAGTCTCATATACCTTTTGTGTGTGTGTGTGTGTGTGTGTGTGTGTGTGTGTGTGTGTGTGTGTGTGTGTGTGTGTGTGTGTGTGTGTGTGCATATGGTTAGAACTCAGTTCAAGTGCTGGTACAAGGCTTGTACTTAGAACCTCATACTCTCAACAGGCATTCTAGCTCATAGCAGGTATTGTATCACTTGAGCCAAGTCTTATCTGTCACAATGCTATCTAATTGGAGATAAAGTCTTCCAGTCTTTACAGCCTGGGCTTACTTCAAATCTTGATCCTTTCAGGCTCAGCTTCCCGAGTAATTAGGATTATAGGAGGGGCTTGAACTCTGGGCCTGGGTGCTATCCCTCAGTTCCTCAGTTCCTCAAGGCTAGCGTTTTACCACTTGAACCACAGTGCCACTTCCAGTTTTCTGAGTGGTTCACTAGAGATAAGAGTCT